CCGGGCACAACTAATGATGATGTAATTATGTATTGTAATCGATCCCATTTGAAGTTCAATGCACCAATTCCAAATGTCCATATTCCGGTCAGTTTGTTAAGAAGAACATTATGTGGTTGTATGAAACAAATCCATGCAAACGTGGCTAAGATAGGCATTATATAGTTCGGTAACCAGCTGAAGATAAACTGACATGTGAGTGCAATGAAGAAGAATCGTAGACGACTGAATTTCCACTTGGAACTGGAGTTCGTATGATTATCTACATTCTCATCATGTAAAGTTCGAAATAAGGCTACAGAGGGTATGACTGTTGGCCAAGTCAATAATGAAGGCCAAACCAAGAAACGACGCATGATACCTGAAAAATCTTCTAGATCTTATTAATGCTTCACAAATATTTAGAGGGTCTGCATTACCTGCGATACCATATCCAATGAGTTGTGATGAGAGGATAAAACCGAAGGCTAGTATAGGATGTATCGATTTTTTATAATAAACTTTTTGTACATCAATTGGATTGAGTGCATAACTGCTGTTTGTTAAGTTTGCCATTGCGACTATCAGAACATGTTCTTTTATTGTAAATGGACCAGGATTAAATGAGAAACAGTAGTTCGTATTTGGCCATATACGAAATGATTTTTTGGGTAATACAAATGCAAGAAATTTACCCAAGACAAATGACAACAGAAATATATGCGACCCATCTAAAACAATTCGTTTCATACGATAATGAAAATATGTATTAATAATGGTAAACGAAACGAGAAAGCCCAAGCCAATGAACCATACTCGAAATGTTGAACATAACATGTTTGGATCATCGTCGTTCGATACAACACCGTCGACTTCTTCATACCAAGTATGTTCAGCTTCGATATATTCATTATGTACATGTGGTGCAGCAGTTAAACCTTGATTCCCAGTTGAGATTTGTTTCCTCACATTCTGTTTATTGTCGCCCACTTCATAAGTTTTAAATTCTAGAGTATCACTTGACTGCATCTCGAGCTTAATCTGAAAAACGTATGTACTCTTTGATCTTAAGGTGCCCGCAACGCAAATTTAATGTAAAATTTTTTTTCGACTTTTTTTACAACATCTGATAGAGCTTGAACTGCTGACCACGAATATCTACTTTCTAGCCTTAGTGAATGTTTACTTCCAATCGAAAAATACGAAATACTCCAAGGATGTCATTTTCATCAAAAAAAGCATCTTTTCCAAAATGTGCGAAATTTTCTACTTCTTTCTTTTTGTTCGGCTTCTTAAAATATTTTTTCGGATTCAGCATCAAAAACTGAGTACAGACATGTTGTTAAATCGACTCAAGACCCAAAACTCTATTGGTGATGGCACTTCGAATCGCGCCGAGTTCACTATGTATAGGTCGATTTTGTAAATCTACCTAGTTTTTCTACGTAAGTGATGGAATCAATTATTTTATCTCATTCTACTCGTCATACCATTGGCTATAAAGCAAGTAACGCTCGTCCCTGTGACTCACTTGACCCTCGACTGAATATTCGACTCTCTCTATGTTATACACAGCTTCGAAGTCTTCAATAAAGTTAGTATTAAATGTTTCAAAAGGATGAGTGAGTAAGCGTGTGTGGGTATCGATATGAGTCTCAATATCGCTGTGCACAATGGTACGCAGATCCGCATGATGATTTTGTCATAAACTCATTTAATCAAATGGATATCCATACATTGATACTCAACAGGAATCCAAACGAGCTAAGCTACGTAGACAGCATCCGGACGTACCCAAAAAAGGAGATTTTATATAATTTTCTGAGAGATCACGGACCAAAATTCATACGCGACAATATTGTGAAAACGCGTCATATTCTTTGAAATTTATACTAAAAATCCATACGCGTACTAACACATCAGCCAACAACGTTATTTAATGGAGCGTCGGCTAGGAAAACACGGGTTTAGCTGAACTTCTAGCTTAAAATACACCATATAAGATCTGATCTGCATTCAGAATACCATACTTGAAAGAAGCTCCTACTCAAGGCCGCCGTCAGAGGGTGGATGTGGGTGTATGGGTGTGGGTGGGTGTGGGTGTGGGTGTGACTGTCTTTTCCTTGCTTAAATTCACACCCACACATCCACACTCACACCCACACCCACACCTACACACCCACACCTACACTCACACCCACACACCCACACCCACACACCCACACCCACACACCCACACCCACACCCACACCCACACCCATACCCACACCCACACCCACACCCACACCCTCTTGTTCCAAGAGTTCCCAGAGTTCTAAGAGTTCCTAGCGTTCCAGTAGCTTCAAGAGTTCCTAGGGTTCCAAGAGTTCCCAGAGTTTCAAGAGTTCTAAGAGATTCAGAGTTCCACGAGTTCCTAGGGCTCCAACAGTTCGTAGGGTTTCAAGAGTTCCCAGGATTCCCCAAGAGTTCTGATTTCATGGAATCCGGCCACGTCTCACATATATCTTCTAAAACGAATGATTCTTGACCCATAGAAGGCTCAATAGGGTCTATCTGGCTGAGTATCACAGTAAGGGAAAAGCTTGACCGATCAAGCTGAAACTTTATAGGAATGACTACTGACCCTGAGCCCTATAATTGCTGAAAGTTTCATGTGAAACTGCTTATGTTTTCTATAGGAGCCGATATCAAGGCTAAATATCCCCCGCCCTTTAAAAATGGCAAAAATCTTACTGAATAGTTCTGCTGATTGAACTAAAGCTTCTTCGAAAATAATTTTTCTAGAAAGGAATTTGTTCGCAAAGATCGAATTCTTCGTCAACAGGAATCGTTTGACTGTATAACACAAACGTAAAAAAATTGAGACCAAACTAATAATACTCACGTTTCAGCCAATTGGTTCCTTCTGCTATTTTTGAGCTTGTTTTATATAACGGAAGGCGAAATGTAAAATTTTGCGTACATCCTTTCTTTCTTCCTTTCTCATTTTTCTTTCGATTTCTTAATTATATAACTCGATAACAGTACACGCATTTGATTTGCTATGATATATTCCACTACTTAAACAAATTTAATGAAGTGAAAAATTACTTTCGAAATGACTAGCATACAATGCTACTACTTCCTCTACCGAAAATCGTACTTGCTCTTTATGATGTTGTCATCGCGCACGTCCCTAGTCAAAAAAACTTTTCGCGAAACAACTTTCGGTTGACAAAGCACTCCATTAATTGAAGCATATGAATAAAAGTTTGCTATGTGGGTTTGGGTGTCAGGTGAATGTAGGTGTGTGCGTGTCTAAGAACTTCGGTGTGTTCATGAGTGCGAATATAGGTGTAACCATGCATGTGACTGCAGTTAAGTGGATATCCGTATCAGAAAGACTAAAGAAGAGACCCACATCCTATATGCACCAAAATACACATCAATACTCACATCCATACTCACACTCCAACCTACACCCCATATCCCATCCACATCACACTCACATCCATATCTACACCCCACACGCCACATCTACACCCACACCGAAATCCACACCCACACCCACACCCACACCCCACACCCACACCCATACCCACTATTACCTTTGGGTAACAAAGTATTTAATCAATCTTTTTGGTTTCTCTTCGTAAGAATCATAAGGTTGAAATCCACTGCCTGATGATGAACAGACTGAGGACCTGTTCGAAACCTAGGTACTGGTAACTCATTCACCCTCACCCTCACCCTCATGAGAGCAAAAAAGGACTAGAGTCAGTATTTTCGCAGACGCCATATAGACGTATTTGCAATTGTCTTAAAGATTGTTCTTTATCTTAGAAAAGAAGTATGTTGAAAGGAAAGACAAACATACTTTTTTTATCAGTGTTTACGTCGAATAACAACGAAAGCAAAGTTCTTTTATGTAAAAAAACAATGAATAGTGTAACTTTAACACCTTTTATTTCTGTTAGAAAGACGTTGTATTAGTTATTAACATAGATAAAGTGTATTTCATCGAGAAGAATCTATGACGTTTTAACTTTCAGCGAAAGATGGAGATGTATTTCTGCAGAACTGTTAAGACTTAATGCAAACATTGATATACTTCAGAGATAAAAGAATTCAGTTTTAATTCTGTCATTTATCAACAAAAACAAGACAAACTAACATTCTGTTAGTCAAACAGACAAGCCAATAGACTTGTAAAAAAAGAAATAATCTCTGGTTTTTACTCAGAGTTTTTCTGAATGATAAATATTCACATCATAATTTTTGCTTGTAATGCCTTCATGTATCTGTCCGATCCCTCTGACAGCAATCAAATATCATTATGAGACGCAAAGTATACACTATGATGTCTTTTGTTTTAATCTAACGATTAACATAGAAATGTTTTCGAAGCAGCATTTATCTATTCATTCGTATATTTACCAGATAAATCACGTTTATTCGCAATAAACAATTATATATTGCAGGTGACATAAATATTTTAAATTATCCTCTAGAGAAATTTTGAATCTTCATTAATAACAATAAATATACTATCATCACTGTTTCTTCAAAAAAATTTAAAATATGTTCTCAATGTCATCCGAATCCTTCACTTTGGTCTTGATATCGTCTTCACTCTTATTCTCATTTTTTAGCTTATGATCAAATGAATATCGGATTTTATAATAAAAGCCTGGGAGAATAGATCTTGGCAATTACTAATGCAAAGTGGACGATGCTAAATGTTCTTAAAATTTCATTCAAAAAAAGAAAAAAAATGCATGTGCAAAGATCAATCACCTGCACAAATTGCAAAAGTATATGATTTCTTTAATTCTGAGACGCTTTTGTTCTTTATAAAATCATACATTTCTGAAAAGTAGTATAAAACCATTTTGATGATAATACAAAATACCTGTAAATAGAAGCAATAATGTATTTATTATCGTTTAAGAGAACATTACATTGTGCGAAATCATGATTTCTCTTCGAACAAATATAAACAAAAATACAATCACAACAAAACACAATATAGATGTATATTATTACGAAGTCTGCGAATTATATTTGTTTTTTAATTCTTCACGAGTTTGTTTTATCCTATCTCGATCTTTCTGTCGTTGTTCTCGTTTTTTCTGTTCATTTTCTGATTCATATTCGACAACACATGCATCAGGTGGAACAGTTGTCAATGATTCATTACTTGTTATCATCTTTTCCGGATCTGATTGAAAATGAGCATATTTGAACGTACACATTCCTATTTTGAATCCTTTAACAGACATTACAGGTTGCTGAGATTTTGATGTTAAACCAAAGAATCGTTTAAATCTTGAACTAATTTTGTTTGCTTTTTCAGGATTTGCGGTTTGACCATCGTTAGGCGTATGTCGTTCAATTGCTATAATGAAATGTTGACCAGATAACCTAGATGCAAGCATAATACCCAATACAACAGATATCATCATGAGTATAAATATAAGAAGAACGAGATACAAATCCATATTAATTGTTGATTTTTATGTATAAAAATTGAAGGTCAGTAATAATATCACAGATTATTTTTTTCTACGTGAAGATGTATGTGGAAAAAGAAAAGAAGCAGGTGTCTAGGTGAAAGACAACGAACGAAAAGAAAAGAAGAGCAAAAATATTCTCTTTCCAATACGCTCACCTAAAGATAAGGAAAAGTTAGTACCCAAAAGGGTGTAGGTGTGGGTGTGAAGTGGCTGCCATGACTGGTTTCGTTCTGGCTAAAGGACTCATCAGATGGCATATCTATTCTGGATCTTAGAAAAGAACAAAAATCCAAAAGAAGATATATATCTTCAAAGTTTAAGTTCAAAACTTGCAAATTCGAAGAAATTCTTCACAAGGCAGTGGTGTGTATAACAAGTGAATTGCAATTTAATAGCACGAGCAATATTACGATCGGTTTCGACCTTGCTCAAGGGTCCTCATCTGGTAAATTTGGCTATTAAATTATATGCTGCATATCAATCCATTTACAAAATAGAAATAGTCCATTGAGCGTTAACCATAGACAACTAGACTCTCAATAACCTACCGTCAAATTTTTGTAAAAGAATCACAATTATTTTTAAATTTTAAAACTTTTCGAAAATAAAAGTTAAAACTTAAAAGCAAAGGGTGTGTAATATAGAATAATCGCCAAACCACGAGGGTGTGGGTGTGGGGTGTGGCTGTGGAGTATTGCTGTGAGTGAGTGTGGTATGGTTCTGTGTGGGTTGTTGGAGGGTGTGAGTGAGCATCATCTCCCCATTTACTTGCACTAACACCCCACACCCACCATCGTGGACATACGAACAAGTATGTAGTATGTAAGAAAGAACAAATAAAATAGAATAATTGTAAGACTGAGCATATTCTCAAAAAAAAATATTACGACTGTAATTAATCTAATTTTATTCAATGTTTCGAATCAATGTTTTATCTAAATATGGCATAACGACTTAGTGATATTTAAATTATCAAATTTATTATGGTCGTTCACAAAATTAAATATAAAAAAAATATTTGAGATTTGTCGGTTTTTCAAAAATTAAATGTTTGTTAATTTTCCATTCATAAGACAAGGATCTGAATTCAATATTCATTCTAGTTAATGAATCAAATTTAATAAAAATTGATCAGATTAATACCGATTTCAATTTTCCGTAAGTTGTTGATTTTCTAATTAACTATATTTTGTTTACAATTTTTTTGACAATTTTTTTAATCAATTTAATTTGATTTATGCTTTACTTGCTATCTTGTTTTTGATTAAAACATATCAAACAACTTGCTTTACATTGAAATTTGATTTATATATGCTATTCTATAATTGTCATGATAAAGTATATTTAACCTGTGCTTTATATTCTTTTCTACATATCATATAGATGGAAACTACGGGCAATTGTTGGTTGTAAACATCCAAAACGAACATATAGTAACTCAATTGGTGAAGATGAAATATCAACATGGGATTTGGTTGATGATACAGGTGCTATCAATCTTGTAGCATTTAATTTAGATTCATATATAATGTCGAATAAATTAGTTGAAGGACAAGTAGTAAAATATCTAAATAAAATATTCTTCCATTTTATATTTATAGTCATATGAATTCGATGATTTATCAATTCGAACTGTTGATAAACTTTACAAAAAATTACCTCATGCATATCAATTAATTGTAAATAAGGCAACTAAAGTACGAGAAATTATTATGTCATTTAATTATCAATTGACATATTATGTCATCCATTTGAATGAAATCGAAATATTACCATTGAATTCGATAACTGGTTAGTATTTATAGATCGAAACTAATTTAAAAATATGAATAATTTATATTCTCAATCATGTTATATAGATGTTCACATGAAAGTCTTAAGAGATTATGGAATTACAGTAGGAAATACAAATGGTAATTTATGGACTCGACGAGAACTTCATGTTGCTCAAGATGGTGCTCATATCAGATTAACATTATGGAATGAACAGGTTTTATTATATCTACGGTTATTTATTTAACTCTTTCTTTTTTATTAGGCTAAAATAATTCCAACACCTATCATCAACAAATGGTTAAAAATAAAATGGTGTGGGTGTGGGTGTAGATGGAGAGAAGATTCACACTCACACCAAGCGACCCACACCCAAATAAACCTTCGAGCCAAAAAATAAAAAAATATTCTTTCAATATATTAAATTGATTACAAACTATAATTAGATTTCAATATATCTTCACGAATATTTGACCTGAAAAACAAATCTTTGACACAAAAAATCTCAAATAAAAGTTTCTATTGTGATCATTAGATTTATCTAACGTAATCATATAATTTACTATAAGAAAAAAGGTTGTGCTTTAATTTGTCAAAAATAAAAGATTGTATTTGTAAATAAATGTTTACAAGGGCAGTTAAGCACACGGCAATAAATCCTGTAATCCGCTTTTTCCTTGTTTTTCTTTCTTCTTTTATCGGTCTTCCTTTTCATTTTGTGCTTCCTTTTTTCTTTTAATCATATTTTATCTACGAAACATGGCATATTATAATTCTCTTGGACTTCTTTGTGTGGCTATGTCGCTAATGGTGGTGTTAATCAAACAGCTGTGAATAAATACATTATCAATTTTAAGCACTTCCGATTGTAACAATTAAGATAGCGAAATTTAAAAAAACCTATGTTAATCCCTTCACATCGTTCTAGATTAAAATTTATGTTTTATTGGTGGGTGTGGGTGTGGGTGCAGGTGTGGTGCTCCTCTTCGAGGACAGCCACACGCACACGCACACCCACAACAAGAACCGAATATTGATGATGAATGAATATCAATTGTTTACGGCCGATACACAATTAATTTCATGTTCACCGATATCCATTTGTTTTTTCTACGCTTCTTTTTTTATTTTTGGCAGAGAAAATAAATTTGAATGATGTGCGAAACGAATCATAGATTCGAGGAGAAATGGCATGAAACGTACAGATGTTACAAAGGAAAGTGCGCTAACCCTACGCACTGCCGGCCCGCAAGCTTAGCCGCCCTTTAGTACGTTCACTGATGGTCTGTGACAGTGCTCAACGGACTTAAAACACTGCCATGTCATTCACCTCTACTTGCCGAATATATTCGTCACTCATTCAAATTATTTACCGTGCCTTGATGTCCACTTGTATCTTCAACGGAAGTTCAATAATTTTGAATTCTTCTTTGTTCTGGCATCTTTAACTTCGTTTCAGAATATGCATGTATTCGCTCGCCAGGATCGACATGTAACGATAAAATGAGAAAGAGATGTTATGACAGACTGGAGGAGTAGCTAGTCGCTACTGGACAATGATATTTATTAGCTATTTCACATGTCCAGAATGTATTTATTGCACATTCAACACAAGCTTATATATGATAGAGAATCAAAGAGAGAGACGACATAGACAGAACAATAGAGAGAGGAAGAGGAAAGAGGAAGTGCAGTGAGCCGTGACGTATATATCGGTACACGTGTGTATGAGAACATTTTTTGATTTCAAATAAATAAAGAAAAGGTCGAATATCAGACCTCTAATAACATCGAATTAAGATCGTATTACATATAGATCAAAACAACGAAAAACAAACAATATCTAATATATTAAGGAATAAATATAGGTTCAATGTGATTGAAAAAGTTTATTATTTTCATATATTATGATTTTTCATCATTTAAAGTTAATTTATTTGTTAAAGTATTAAATGATACATTAGTTGTCTTTTGAGATTTTAATGAAGTATTTCCAGATAATAATCGTCTTTGAGTGGAATTGAAACCTGTTTGATTACTCAATTCAGGATTACTATTTTGAATAAGACGACTTTGTTTTTTTCGTTTAATTAAATGACATTTAATAAAACAATGATTAACTTCATGTAGAAAAATATTTCGAAATTTTTTTCCAGCTAAATAATAAAGAAAAAAATTTATAATATGTGGTAAATCTGATAATATATCTTGTACAACAGTTGAATAAAAACTAATTTTATATGATTTAATATCATTATCACTAACTTCAATGCATGAACGTCCATGTAATAATTGTCGTGGATTATTAATCCTTGTAAGAAGAAATATAATTATATTTGGAATATTAAATATAATTAATGATAATGTAACAGCTAAAAGCATTCGTGTTACTTGTGCATTTGTACGCCGTTTTATTGCTTGACTTGTATCTGTTATTACTGATGAATTTTGTGGTGATTGAGAACGATCTCTACCTGATGAAAATATTTTTCTTGTAATATGTATTGATAAATGTTGTCGATCTATTTTATCCTCATTTGTATACGAATCAAATGGTGCATGAGAAACACGATACAAATTGACAACAATAACAATATTAATAACTGTGATTAAAGCTAATAACAAAAACAAAAAAAAAAGAATAAGAAATGTATTAAATTTTAAAATTCAAAAGTAAACAACAATATGATTAAATTAATTTACGAGAAAATCCTCTTAGATATTTCCTTCCGATTTCGATTCTTGTTGAGATTCGACTAATGAGGAAACGCTTCTAAGTATCATATCACATTCGAGCTGAGACTATATGCATCATGTAGATTCTAATAAACTATCAATACTCTGAAAAGATTTTAGGCTAATAGCTTATTGCTGTCGAGATGCCGTGGTCTTCCTCAGAAACATCAGAAAAATTGATTTTCGAATTTCAATTTAAAACTTTGCATAAAGTATATGAACGGTATGAAAAACATGCTTTTACCATAACCATATCATAGAATAGATCGAAAAACTTTTTAATAGACTATTTCATTAAGACGTATCTCTATGTAAAGTTTTAAGTCAAAATTCAGTTTTTCTGAAGAAGGCCATGACATTCTACTACAAAATACAGTACCTCAGCAGTAATAACCTATTAGTCTGAACTCTTCTTAAGGGTATTCATAGCTCATTAGAACCTACATGTTGCATATAGTTCCGACTCAGAAGCAATAACCTAAGACTTCTAGAAAAAAATTCAATAGTTTAGTCAAATATCAATAGGAACCTAAATTCTTTTAGTTTTTATTAGAACACTATGTAGTATCTATAGACAAAATATTTTTATAAAATTATAGAAATATGGAAAATCTTCATGTTTTGAAACATTTTTATCTAGATCAAATCTCTCACATAGCTTCTCAAAAATATATATATATATATTTTTTTTTTGAAATAATATTAAGTAACAAATTGTTTCATAACAACTTTTCGTTTATTGCACTTCTTCATGTTACCAAATATTTAAACCAAGCTATATTAAAAAATTATTATAGCTACTTAATGGGTTTGATAACTATTAAAAAAAAAATGATTCAAATAGTTTATTTGCTTGAATGGTGTTTTCTATTTGCTTTCATTTTATCTATGTATTATTTATTTAATGGATCATACAATCTACGTTCCTTTTTTCATAGTATGCATATAAAACATTTTCTTATAATTGATATTTTTCTAATGACATTCCAGGTCAAGAAACACGAGGCGTTTTCGGAGGAAGTCTATTGAAAATTCATAAATCGGATGTCGTAATCCTTGACTTACGATTGAATGCATCTTAGATATTTTGCTACGCTCTAATCTCTTTCTGATAAATTTTACTACTTTATACTTAAATGTCTATTATCGATTTTCTATGAGATCACTTGAAAAATTAATCATTGTTATTGAAAAATCTAAATAACAGCAAATATGTTGCAAATACAGCATTTATGTTTCTATTCTTTTAATCAATTTTATATTCAATAATTTCAACTAAAAGAAAAATCAATCATAATAATTCAATAGTCAAACGATATTTAAAATGGCTATGAATATTTATTAAATAGTGATAGGGATTCATGAGCTATGTACTCAGAAAGATTGACAAGAAAACAACTAAATAATTGTTTATCAAAATAGCTACTCATTTAGAAATATGAACAATAAATAAGTAGTTGAATGTTTATTGACAATACGTATATCGTTAAAAAAAATTCTCTTTAGAGAAAAATTGTAGAATGAGTTCAGATCTTAATCAAAAGATGCATCTCTTGAAGGTATTTCTAGTTTAATAATACATCTATAATGAACAAAATATGAGTTCAAAGTATTATCGTAACTTGCGCAGTCTTTATTACATATTCCCAGAAAAAAAACGCGTCAAATTTCAGATGAAAGTCAGCAATCTTTTTCTATCAAAGTTACTTTCCGGCCAATTTGTACCTAGCTAATATGCAAAAAAAGCGACAAAAAAAAAACTTTTCCCGAAAAGTGATTGGCTATCGAAAGATTTCTCCTTTTATAACTACTTTACACTATACAATATATATAGCTAATGGTGAACGATCATGATTTGTATTTGTATAAGAGTTAATATAACAAGTTAATATTGATAATATCTATCTGTTTCTGATAACGATGATTCTTTACACCTATTAGTAGAGTTCTGCTATAGATTTAAATGTTCTGTATATTATCAGAAAAATATTTTGTAGTTAATTCTTGTAGATTTTCTTATATTTCTCTTCTATATTATGTATATATCAATAAAAATAAATAGATTTAACTTAGATAAAAATATCATTGAAATAATTAGAACATTGTATCGTATGGCATAATGTATTGAGTATGATATTCTTTTTGCGGTAGCTAGCATCTGATTATTGAAACTCATTGAGACATATATATAAAGAACAAAGAAAAAACATTCATTTCAACTTGATTCGTATGTTAATGTCAAAGAACAACACACTATATAGATTATCATCAATAGATTTAAAATTTATAATCTTGATAATGTTTAGTTATGTATATATTAGCAATAGATCAAATTTTATTGATATTTGAGAAAATATAACCTTTTTCTTTTAATCTACTGTGCCAATAACAAAATAACTTCAGATGATGATGCCTTTTAATGAACGTTGAAATATTACCTTGAAAATATACTAAATAAATAAACTTCTTTAACATATAGTAACTGTATGAGCAAACTATACTACTGACTTCTATGGAAATATTCTATTATTAATGTATCGAGGTTTACTATAAATGATATTATAACATTAAAAAAAATGGATTTTGACAAACTCATTAACTTTTATTATCGTGACTAAATAGTTAGCGAACAATAAATTACGAAACAAATGACAAGCAAAAAAAAAACAATTTTAAGACTAAAGTCATACTAATAACAACATTAGCTGTTTCGACAAATTTTTTTCATTCCATTATATACATATATAAAGTTGTCTTTATAGAAATTCTTTCTGTTATTCTATGCCTATGTTACTCAGTGTTTATTAAATTATTTATCACTGCATGTTAAAATAATATCTAGCGAAATTCGAATCATTATGTGAACAACTTGTTTACTTCTATGTCTTCTCAACTGTATTATATATTATAGAATTAATTTTATTAACACTAAAGGAAATGGGTGAATATCATAGATTATATATAATCAATAACACTTACCAATAGGTAAAATAGAAGCTGTAAGAATATCAATTATTAAAGAATGTTCCATTAATCCACAATATCCTTGATTATTATTTGCTGAAAGTACATTAGATAATGTAATAAAATTTAAATTAGCAAATAAAAGTATAAGACTTGTAAAACAACATATATAAAATGCTCGTTTTTGTGTTATCCATATACCAGCTTTGAGTGGATAACTGACAGCCACAGCTTTATCTCTAAAATAAATAATATATTATGAATTTTTGTTGTATGTTGTAGTACTTACAAACTCATTAAAACGATAGTCCACATAGTAATTGAAATACATGCATTCATACATACATAAAGTATTTTACAAAATACAGGTGTTATTAAAATAATATTTTTCTTTTTTTCAATTGATTGATAATTAAGCTCAGCTCGAATATATTTAAGTGTAATAGCCAAAATATCAAAAATTGCAAGAAATCGTAAAAAGGTAACAGTTGTTGATTTTTTTAATAATTTTGAGCGTGAAAGAACAAAAAGACAAAGTGTATTAAGTAATACACCTGGACCAATAAGTAAACGTAAATATATCCCAGTAAGGAATTTAAAAAATAAATAATCTGATGTATAAACACGAAGTTTTAATGAACATGTTGATGTTAATAATAATGAATTATTCATGGTTGAATTCATTTGTCTAGATTAAGCAAGATTTATGCTAATACGATAGTATTTGTCATAGCAAACAAGTCAGAATAATATTAATTGCAAAAGAAATTTTTCTTCATCTATGGCTAGCATCGTTTTTTTTAAATAGAACTCATGTAAAAAAAAAATAGAAAAAAATCAGATTTTAATCGATTTTTTTCTGATTAATAATCGATTAAAATGGCACGATTTTAATCAGATTTTAATCCGATTTTTAATCGTAAAAATCGATTTCGTCCGATTTTTTCCCACGTAATCGATTTTTAATCATAAAAATCGGATTAAAATCTGATTAAAATCGTGCCATTTTAATCGATTATTAATCAAAAAAAAATCGATTAAAATCGATTATACGTAAAAAATTTATCAAAATCAATTAAACTCTAGTTGCTCTCAGCTCCTTACATAGGCACCTTTCAGTCAATTTTCATCTATTACTGTTTCCTAATGCATTTTAATCTACGCTTACCTGTTTTCTTATTTTAATCTATACTTACTAAATAATCGATTTTAATCATATGCCTCGAAAATAGGCGCTTTTACCGAGATTCGAACGCGAAACCCTAGTTTTCTCATCATTTTTTTTGGCTTCCTCATGACAAGAAATCCTAAGGCTGCCGCCAAGCTAGTGACTGATATATATACTAAAATTCGGACTCCTATATAAATTGAATCAATTGAGATTGCGCAATTACGTAAATAATCGATTAAAATCCGGAATAATCAATTAAAATCGATTAAAACCCGTAAAATTCGATTAAAACCCACATAAATTGATTAAAACTCATATAAATCGATTAAAACCCACATAAATCGATTAAAATCTGTTAAACCGCGAGATTAATCGATTAAAATTGATTGCAGTTTTAATCAATAGTTTGGATTCCTTAAAAAAGCAGTTAGCGCAATCGCTGTAGAAATAAAATGTGAAACACAACCAAACCCATTCTCATTGACTTCATGCAAACTGAAAATTTCATATATTTTACAACATATTTCTTTGTCACTCTTCGCTTTGGACCAAAGAATTTCAAAAACGAAACGCAAACGAAATATTCTAACTAAATGTTACTTATACATGCTTTCTGCGAGTTTCTTGAAGGCGAATCTGGCGGTCTGCGCTGAACATTATGCCTATCCCGCACGGTCCGTTACGGGTACAAACCCTATTTCCCATGTTGCGAATGTATGTGTGTGTAGAGGGAGGATCACGCTCTGAATTTCTACCCCACATATATCAACAATCCTATCATATTCTGTTTCACAATAAACGATTATTTTTAATCGATTACCAGAATTAATCGATTTTTCTGATTTTTCTAAAAATAATCGACTTCAATCGATTACGCGCATTAATCGATTAAAATCAATTAGATTTTTAATCGATTATTCTGATTTTTCGAAAAATAATCGATTTTTTACCGATTACCAGTATTAACCGATTAAAATCGATTATTTCGAAATTTTTAAAAATAATCGATTTTAATCGATTTTCCCAGAACTTAATCAAAATTGCTGCTTTCAATCGATTTTTCCTGATTTTTCTCCGAAAAATCAATTTAAATCGGACTTTTAGGCTACTTTTTTTTTACATGGGAAATGGTTTTTGATTGATTAAAATCGATTTTAATCTGTTAGCCTGTCTGTAAAGCTGAGAGAGAGAGAATTGAGAGTGAGTGTGTGTATCGTAGACTTTATTTTTTAAGACCAAAAAAATCACGTTTGAACAATAAAAACGAATTCCAAAAAAAACGAAGAAGAATAGTGTATATATAGGAGAAAAAAAGAAGGGAAAAATGTGATCTATGATCACATTTTTTACACAACGCATCATGCATCATGAATCAAGAAGAAAAGGAAAAATGTGAGCGAGAATCACATTTTTAACAAAACGCGCACAAAGAAAGTGATGACTTGAGTCATCGCTAACATAATCGATTACCAGTATTAATCGATTAAAATCGTTTAGATTTTTAATCGATTATTTCGAATTTTTTAAAAATAATCGATTTTAATCGATTTTTCCCACGAATTTAATGAAAATTACTCCTTTGAATCGATTTTTTCTGATTTTTCTCCGAAAAATCAGTTTAAATCAGATTTTTAGGCTGTTTTTTTTACATAGGAAGTAATTATAATACATGCTATTGCAGGTGTATATTGGGTGATCAATAATAAATGGTCGCACTTTGCATTTCATATTTTAATTTCTAAATGAATTTTATTAAAATATGAAATGTAAAGTACAGTCAAATAATATATCTCTTTGGATAAAACAATATAAAGATCTGTTCTTACCAGTGAAGTCAGTATTTTATAAATAAGGAAGAAGAAAATAATTATTAAAATGAGATAGTTTTTCGATGTCTTATTTTTTTTAGACATGTTGCATTTAATGGGAAAAAGAACGCAATTAGACTATCATTTCGAATGATAAGATTTTTACAGAAAATTTGATAAATATTAAGTAGTATGTGGAGATACAATTAGCCTATTCATATCTTATAATATGATTAATTAACCCTTTACTCTCCATAATCATTCCAGAAGGCCCACTAATAAAACAACTATTAACACAGAGTATTGTCCTCTTCAGTAGGTCAATAATATGAACAGATCGACCAGGTGCGCTTCTTTGTATGCACAGTAATTTGGCAACTCCAGTTGCCATTGGGAGGGAGGTAGCGACATGAAAACATTTTTTTGTCTTTTGCGAGTAACCTGATGATTTCGTAAAAATCCAATATATTATCTTAATTCAACAATACGAATAAAGAAAACACTAGCACATACAAAGATTTTCTTTTTTCTCTCTACCGTACATGTGCTCCTGAAACAACTTTTGTATACACATAGCATCCTTTTTTTCTCGAAGTAATTAATTGATCAAATAAAGGATAATTATTGATTCATTCTTCTTCGACTTCGATTATGATAAGATTTAAAAGAATTGAGGTACAGATGCAGATGTGATTTGGATCTCTTCTTATTCGACACTAACACTCAGATTCATCCATACCCACATCAAACATTTATATAACAACAAATGATACTCGTATTTTTAAATAACAGCAATTTATTTACTTATCTTTATGTAAATATTAACACGTTTTGCGTTTAGATGAAAATTAAAAAAATTGTTTTTATGCCGTTACCCTCGTCCCCAATGAAAACGTCAGTTGCCATTTTACGTCGTACAATTTCTTGTTCCACTAATTCGTGTGAAAACTCTTAAACGCATTTTATTCAATAGCAGCAACTTTTGTCGACATCTATCATCCACCATATCATCAAGATAAGTATTTCTCGCAGATAAAAAAACAAGTCAAACAGAAGGGGTCTTTTGTTAGTAATCTCATAATCGCTTCTTTTGTAAGTTATATATCTTATAGACAGAGTAAGGAGACAAGATATTTTTTTTTACCAATCCGTAGCTTCAAAGAATTCTCTACACACGATGTGTAAAGAATTTTTTGATATCGCGCGTTCTGCGCTTTCTGCAATGTTTCTGAAAATGGTAATTCCATTTGGCAATCGTAGGTAAAGAGTTAATATAACATGACATACAATATTATGGATACGTCATGTTTCATAAAATGGAAGAATAGAATCTCAATTTAAAGTTCTTGTACATAAAATTCAAAATATAAATAGAATAGGATTGGATAACAAAGAAAAAACAACTTATAATTATTAATTTTATAAATCATGCAGAAAAAAAATTTTTTCTTAAGAGTTTAATTATTCATGAATAATTTAAAAGAAACATTTATTTAGATGCTATAAATATCCTATATAGAGTAGTGACCAAAAGTCTCACTACCAAGTACTTCAATTTGAAATATTACGCTTAATATTTTAATTACAAGCAGAATTCGAGTCAAGCTTGATCGCAAGCATCAACTCGGAAGCGATTGACCTTAATTTTTATTATTTAGAACGATTTTCGCTATGTCAATGGTTACAAATACGTCTTTTCACGGAGTACTTAATTAAAGTCGACAAATCCTTAGAGAATATTTCAAAGCAAATAATCGGAACTATAAATTACTTTTTTGATAAATTCAATCAACTGTTACACTAAGAATACTCAATGATAGCTTCATAAATCAAACAAACTATAATTGTTTAACATGAAATATTTTTACTCGTGGAAGAAGCATTAATCAACTCTCGAATAAGGAATAAAACTCTATGAAGTTTATTACTAATATTGAGATATTTTTTGTCTGAATAAAAAAATCTACGTTGGTCAGTCAAATGCTAATATATTGCTTGCTATCAGGATTCATCGCATTCAATCTGTGAACAAAATCTAAGATCAAACGATTCACGTTTAGATGCTTTTTTTTACCTGTTAGCGTGATCTTTGACAATTACTGTAAGAATATAACCAGTTTAAAGTTTACAGTATTACGCATATATTTTTTTCTGTAAGTCTTGTTATTTGATTAATTATACAAAATTCATTCAAATAAATTATTCATTGATAGAACTCATATACAATAATTACTTAATCTATAAATAAAAGCTTTGACAGGGCAAGATTTTGATAATCTTTGCTAAATAAAGCATATGTTATACTTACAATCATACTCTGATAGAAATTATTTTTTTGTGTTTTTCTTTTTTTCTCTTTGTTGTATACGCTCAGCGGTAAAGACAAAGAAGTTCTCTTCAAAGAAACAGGAAATAACAAAAAAAAAACAAATAGATAGACAGAGAAAGAGAGAGAGAGTAAACTTAGTTGTTTGTATATAAGACTAATACATAATGTTTTATTGATAAACTCATTAGAATTTTAATAATTTTTTATATAAAAATATAAATTATATTTTATCTAAGATAGAAAATTGAAGTTAACCTACATGATCTATTCAGTAAAAACAAAAAACAAAAAAATTTCAATCACAAGAAGAAAAATATGGAGAAGTAAATCAATTAGCTAGGGATGTACAGTGTCTATGTAAATACTAACATTAGTGTTACTGATACAGTGTTTACTAAAATACTGTCAGTGATGTCACTAATGGATAGATTACATTGATATCCACTTTCGCTGTAACCTTGAAACAACACTAACTCTTTCAAAAGATGCCATTTTTCTAATGATGCATTCTAGTGCTTTAGTGAACACTGATGTCAATGTGACCTTGTAATTAGTGTGGACTAACTACACTGAATTGGTAATCAGTAAACTGAACGTACGGATCCCTAAGAATAATCAGATATGACAGAATCTTAACAAATTTCTTTGTTTTATAAATATTTATAAAAAGAAATCATACATGACCTTAACTTTCTTTTCAAAAAATGTAGATTTTAATTTTTTAGGAATCACTGAATATCATCTATTTCTTATATATTATTTATAGTAATCTATTATTTTCTTTTTCTCTTTTAGAGATGTTCAGAGAAAAAAGCGCATTTTTTCATCTTCTCTCCTATAAAGATCCAATATTAAAAAAAGCAACTTTCTAGAAATACCCTATTTGTTCAAATATACTACTTCTTTTGCTTTAAATAGCAATCACGACATATATCGGAGGAAATTGAAATAAGTATAAAAAAAGAATTAGAGCAATCCTGTGAAATTAAAATGTCATGTACGATATAATTGCTGTTGTTTAATTTATAGCGACATTGTCTTATTCAATCTATTTTGAGATACATTTCTTCATCCTCCATTTACTTAATGCTTCAGAAATGCAGTAAAGAAATACTTCATGTATGATAATAATACATTATTGATATACGATCATGGATCGTATATCAATAATGTCTGTCGCAATTTATGACGTGGAAGAACGAGTTTTGTTAAGATATTTGTCATGTTTAGAGATGTATTCTGATCGGGTGAGCCGTTGTCCTTATGACACAGAAATAGACATTTGATTTTTTGAAAAATTTCTAATGTTTCACAGCAGTTTTTTAGAGATATTATCGTTTGATTTCTTGTCAATTATTTTCTTTCTTTTTCATTGGAAAATATCTCTAAGTTACGCAAATTTTTAGAAGACTGATCGAAAAATTTCAGTCATTGTCATAGATCAATGTGTCGGTTTACATCTTTAGTCATGTCTTATGATGAGTCGTTTCTAGTTTTCATTGTAATATCTATTATGATCTATTGAAGGTGTTTAACTCTTCGTTTAGATCATTTTTCACAAAGGATAAAACATACATTTCATAAACAACAAAGAAAAATCTAACTTATTGTAAAGTTTTAATTTTTAAATATATTGAATTTTAATGAGCAGAAAATTAAAAAAAAAAGAATGAAGTTTAATTTCAATATTCGTATTACTGCTTGAGAAAATAACTATCTGTCCATGTAGCATAATCTTCAATTATTTGAACATCATATTCATATTCAACTGATTTTCATTTTTAAAATGCTCTTCAAAAACAAAATCTAAACTTCAAAATTTTGCTGAAAGTTATGTGACAAAAAAATTATTTTATGTGTCTGAACATCCCTATATGTTTAATCCTTCCCTCTGTCAAAATTTGACACATTCTGCCTTTACATGTGGACAGCTTTTATAAATAGTTCCTGAACCATTATATGTTTCTGTCATTTGCTATCCAATTATTAAGTTCTAATTGAATATATATCATTTATTCAAATAAATACATTTGTTAATTTATTTATAGAACGATAGCAAATATTTCAGAATTTGAAGTACTTTTAAAAGTTTGCATTTATTTTCTTTTTTTGAGAATATGTGAAGTACATTTTGTTCTACTTTTTTTGTTTGAGAAAAACACCTACTTATTATTCCGCATGGATTACTAAAAGAAATGTCTAATGAAGGAAAAGAAAATATCCATAAACAGTGTGTTATCTTTGAAATGTTAATTTAACATATTAATCAACAGAAGCATTTATCTAGCTGACAGCTTTTTCAGTTGATGCAACTTTCAAATAAAAATTTATTATTATTAAAAATAACAAATGACAACATAATTATCTTCCAAAATCATAACAACACTTTGTTTGATTAGATCTTTCACTTTCTATGAATTAGATTTGTCAATAAGTGATCAAAATTATTTTTATATTTAGTATTTGATAGATACTATAATAATGTTAAATTAGTTGAAAAACAAAACAATACATCAAAATTAGTATCATTTACTATTCCTATTGAGAAATAATATATTTTCAAACAATAGAATAATAAATCATTTATTATTCAGGGTTTATTTTTATTCTTATGGTTATGCGTAATAGTTCGTTTTTTTTCTTGCTTTTCAAATAAATTATCTTTGACACATGTAACTCATATTTCGTGCCTTGTAAGTTACAATTTGCTTTTGTCATATTGCTTTTTTATTATATCTATTATTTGATTATCAACAAAAATAGTTCTTATTAAAGTATGATAAACAAAGTTGCTTGAAAAAATTTTCCAAGCAAAAATCATCATTGCTCATTGAACCAATCTATTTTGTTATTAATTCAAGTGATCCAACTATGAAATTTAATCTATACACGTATATTATATCAATAATTATGATTATAAGCTTTTTATATAGATTCATTATGACATATTCTAAAAAGAAAAGTTTGCCACATTATAGAAAACAGATAGTGGGAAGAGAAAAAAGAATTCCAAGTATGAAATAATAATGTTTAACCGAATTTTGTAATTATTGTATTTATGCAACATGCCAAAAAAAACGAACAAAAATTACATCCATATTATCTTTAATTTAATATTCTTCAATAAATCATTTAAATTAACCAAAGACTTTTCCTAAACTTTTAGTAAAGTATAAAAAAACAAAAAAAATGGCCTAGATTGTCATAAGTAGGTCATGTTGTTAATTTACAATCAAAAAAAAAACTTGTGAAATATTAGACACCAAACAAAGATGAATCTTTCTTTTTAAGAGTACTTTTGCATGTCTCAGTTAATAGAGATCATTAAGAAATAGATATTATGCTTTTATATTCATAATAATGAACCATTAGCTATTTTTTAATATCATTCTATTTAAAAAATAAGATTTTAAATGCAAAAAATTCGATAAATAATATATATGACTTTGTCAAATGATTGACATCATGAAATGAATTTATTCAACAGCAAGAAAATGATATATTTAAGACTTTCTAAGACTTAACTAAAATGAATTGATCTTTTATTCTATCACAAAAAGGTATAGAAAACTATGGAAATAGATCATGTGTTGTTATCATTGTGCAGACCAACCACCATCAATAGGTATTGCCGTTCCAGTTCTTAACGCAAAAAAATAAAAATAGAAATATTATTCAAATGATCAATATCATTATTAAAAGAAATATTAGATAAATCAGTTTCATTCAATACTATTTTTATTCTACAGTCAACATCAAAATGCTTGCAGCACGTTTTGTTTTTAAGTCATATATATAACGTTAATATTAAATTCATAGGATAATAATTAAATTGCATTATACCTAACTCATTGAAATCTCTTATTATTGGCAGATTAGGATGACGCAAATAAGAAAATGACATATGCTTGCAACGCCCACTGTAGCACATTTAAAAAAAAATATCTATTCGACAGTTGATTAAGTTTAGTTTGTGTGATGAAACTACTAAGATCTTATGACAACAATATCAAGTTGTTCCTTTTTTTTCTTTAGTACCCAAATTACTTTTTATTCATTGAATTTTATTTTCAAGGTTTTTTCATATTACATGTATGAACATATAGTACATGACTTCTACTATGTAAGCATATAATTATATAAAAATTAATAGTGTATAGTTTAAATACATTACTTATAAATAGAAAGTGATGTGAGACTTTTTGACATTAACTGACATGTTAATATAAAAAATGGTATTATTGTATTTTCTATAAAGGAATATTTTCAGCAGCTGATTCATTTTTGCGCACTTTGAGCACAACTAGAGAGCATCAGTTGATGAGGTTTCTTCGTCATTGACAAACTCATTTCTGTGTCATAATTTTCTTTTTTGTAAATGTTCTTCACTGTGCATAACAACAAAGAACTGTACCTATTGCCAGAATAAAGTTTTCTATGCCATGTCTCGTCCACTCAAAACAAGATAGCAATTGTTTGAAAAATATTCTCTAAAAATCGGTACATATCGAAGACGCTGAATATTCTTCGATTCACTCATCAATTTAATGCCAAAGTATGATTTTATAGAGAGAATTGAATAGCGAATTGTTTGAAATCAAGCATAGTTTTCTATCTATAAGTGTGAATAAGATAAAAAAGAAAATATCTCGTACTACCGGTAATAAGAACTGTTCGTGATGCCATAAATCTAGAAATATGAAGAATGAAAATAGAATTTTTCTTTTTCCTGTTATAAAGATTTAAAAAAAGAAAAGAATTTTAAGTTTCTCTAGTTTGTTGTTTAGGTATAATTTCATCAAGTTGACGTTCGAATTCAGCTAATTTGACTTTAGATTTTGCAAATAAACGTTCAAATTCTGCTTGTTTAGCTGTACCATCAGTTAATAGTTTAGTACGTATCATTTTTGATACAAGTATTGTTGCTTTACGTTCATGATATTTTGCTGCACGACATTGTGTAAAACGTCCCATACTTAAAATTGGCAAAGAAATTATAGCAGCTTGAAATACACGATTACAATTTGTTGTTAAAAGAAATGCAGCCATACTACAAATAAATGAACCAGATATTCTTTGAAAATATGAAAGAAAAAAAAAAATATTTTTTTTTTCGTTATTTTTTAAATAGATTTTTCAATTTTATTTACCAAAAATAAGTGCTTCTTTTAAACAAAGTGTTTCACCTATTGGTCTATTTTTTTATATTTCGACTAACATAGAAAAATTATATTTTATTTTATCCCAGATTGTTGCTGGTGAAGCATTAGGATCATTATTTATTGGTGCAACTGAACGTAATTTAGAAAGATCTTTAGGATCAGTTGGTGATGCCATATCTAAAATGACAAAAAAAAAATTTTATATGAAATATATAGCTTAATGGAAGAAGAAGGAAAACGAAATGAGAATCTATTTGAATTATTATATCAATTGGCAATCTATGACGATTGAATGATCATTATTGATTTCAAGATTGGATGAAAAGTAAAATTGATGGAGAATTTCGAACGGCATAACAACGTATTAATATCTAATGATATTAGGAATGTATAGTCTTAAAAATTTATTGTATAAAAAAAAATTACTGATTCTTGTCCAGTCTTCAAGTGAGTGAGAATCAATGGTCAAATCTAGTGATATCATCGAATAGATTAATCAAATACGGCATCTTTCTAAAGAAACAATAAACCGCGTGATTTGAACAGGACAAAAAACTCCAGTAACTCATGTTGTTCTTTGGCCTGCAATCTACAACCGGTTCCTATGAATACTGCGGTAGTGTAAACAAATATGGAACATGGGAAGGCCAAGAACCTGGATAAATACTAATAATTTCTCATTGAAATCAATAATTTTTTATTTGATTATTGAATATTTTCTATCTTCATTTGATTAGACTATAGAAATATATGAATGTATGTGAAGGCCATTGTTAACACCACCTATGTTGTGCATGTTTGGTATAGTGTACATTATATCGAACCAAGAGGGAAACAGCGGAGACTTCAGCCACGAAGTCTTGTGAAGTCTTGGAAGTCTCATGAAGTCCCATAAAGCCTCATGAAGTCTCGTGAAGTCTTCAGAAGTCCGCTGTTCCCTCCTTGGACAGCGATAAAAATTTAACCAAAAAAAAAGGTCTCAGAAACAATTTGATACATATATAGGACGACTTAGTTTTTTGTGCTGATTTCAAATACGATATTTGTTTGAAGTCAAATATAGATTATTCTGTTCGACAGCCGTCGAATATCAGTTAAAATTTGACACAAATTAGGTACGAAGATCATAATAGTGAGAGCAAAAGTGCTTTATTAGGCATGAAATTTCAAGTGGAAAATGGTCCCATTAGAAAAAGTCCATTGAATTATCTATTCAATAAAAACATCTTCCTGATGCACCCATATAAACCATGACTTCATAAGGCTAGAGAAATCATTAGTTATAATAATATAACGGAATAAGGGAGGTATTTCGCATTTATCGATTGAAAAAGATTTGAATATCTTAGATATTTTTATTGATTCTGATAAAGAAACAAAATTCTGCATCGAATGAGCCTATTTTCGTCGAACATAAATAGGATTTTTATAGACCTTTAGGTCAACAACTGGTTTTTAGGGCTCTCAGAAATTGCTCCAGATGTTCTCTATTAGCCGTCTAATTTTAAAAAAAATATCCTATTTGGATTCAGCACTGTAAGCTCTATCAAACTTTGACAGACTTCAAGTAGAAAAACGACAAAAAGGGTGTGGGTGTGAGTGCAGATAGAAAGAAGACCCGCTCGAACACCCCACACCCACATCCTCTGAGTCTCGGAGTTACTTGACACCCTGGAGTCATGAGGTGAGCTGTTTTCCCCTTACATTGGACACGATGTGGCCCACCAGTGGGCCACTCTATATTTTAACGCGAAACTGTATAGAAAAGCACTTTATTTTGCTATAGAAAATTAAACATTAATATGTCATCTGTTCTGCATTCAGTACTTTATTTGAGTCCTTTATTCCATAGCATGATGCTTGTTATTAAAACAATCAGGACAAAAAGAACTTATCACAGTCAGAACAGAAGGTTTTTACTTTCTTTGCTGTCGCATAGCTGACTTCTCTTGATTGCGGTATGCCCTTCCGTTCGCACAGCAGCCAGTACAACGTCTGCCGATATTGCGCGTAGATCCTTTCTTTTCTTCGAGCTTGGGATCAGCGAGTTTGCACTTCATTTAGCTTGTTGATCTTTTGTCTTGGACCAAGTTTGAGCTTAAAATAACCAGTTTGTGGAGAAAAAGAACTGCCTATACGATGTTACGAACAGAAAAGAGGAAACTACGAGCTAACATAGAATAAAAAGGTCAAGGAGTGCATTTATTGAGAGATGAATGGACAAGGGAATGAATCTGTTAGAGCTACTCTCTATTAAGACCGAATCGTGCCGGATGTGTTAACAGTACATTTTGCAACAGCCATGCGTTCAGCTTCAAGTCTCAAATAGGATCCTTTGTATATGATCAGTGCCAAACCACCAATGACAAATATACAAATGATAAATATGGAAGCAGGTGTGAATATGACACCGGGCTTATATACAGGAGCGAGTTTTATAAGATAGCCAAGAAGGAAAGTAAAACCACCGCCGAGCGCATTACCAACACACAGAAGTAGCCCAGTAGACCATTCGGCACGCACTGGGTAAGTACATTCCACTGCACACTCAAATGAGATTGGTAAAAGTGGCATCAGGAAGAAGCCCAAGAGAGCAATTGAAACTCCCAGTGGATAAAGCATAGTTGGTCGAAGAATGACAATGAAATAAAAGACCGATGTACAGGCACCTACTACTAATACCTTGAGTAACAATCTATAGGCATGTGTGCGACCCATGATTATACCCACTGCATAGGAACTAATGAGACCTGCTGTAATCAGCATGGCACCGAACACACCGGCATTTTCGCTCGAATATCCACTTGGTTGAATGATTTGATAGGCAAGTGTGGTTATTGAAAGAAAAGCAGCGAAACCAAAAGAGAAACCGAATAACAAAATAAGATAGTGACTATTGGTGAACAGACGGACTAGATCTTGTTTGACATTAATTGATTGGTGATGTTCCTCGGAAGGCGATGGTGGCGATGGAGGCTCCGATCGAAATATGGCTACAACTAAGAGCATTGTCAATGTGGTGAAAGCAGCTTCAATTGTTAACAGAATCAAAAATGAATGAGATGATATGCCATCGGTAACAATAAGGGATGGTAGAAGAGCACCGATGGCTCCACCAAGTGGCATGGCCATTGAACCAATGGCTGTGGCAATATCACGTTGTTGTGGAGCGAACCAACGAGCGGCGAATAGCGCGGTCAAATTCAAAAACAAAGGTGCCGTAATAGCTGGGAAAAATTGACCGAGCATGAGAATCGGATAGCTGTGACTGGACCAAATGAGAGCAAATAGACGAATCCATACACCCAAGTTTAGTAAACTTCCAATAATCATCCCGCTTCGCATCGAGAGTCTTCGATAGACCCATATTGACAGAACTGTGCCAGGCACGTAAAGAAAGAGAAAGACAATGGCCAGAGTATTGACTTCTGTCGATGTTATCTTGAAAAAGGTAGCTGTCTCCGCTTCGATCGGAACAAATGTCACACTATGCAAAGTATTCGCAAATGTTGCAAGGAAATAGATAAACAGTTGAACCCATCGGACGCGATACACACGATATACTACAGTTACCTCAGTTACATCCATAATTTTATGTGTCTGATATTGTTCTTCACTTCTATTTAGCTGTCCTCTATCTTTAGCTAGTAAATGCAGTTGATATGTGACGTGTAGCAGATAGAAATAGCGCACGTGTATAATCTATATCAATGACGTTATCTTTTTCGTGCACCTCTTCTTTCTCTTTTCTTTATTTATTTTTAATGATATGTTTTTCTTCATATTTTTCCTCTCTCTCTCTCACTGAAAACTACAATAAAAGTCGTTAACCCAGTTAGCGAGACATCATCGTGCTACTCGTACAAGAACTGATGATTAGTTATATATTTCTTCTAAAGTTGTTGGTATGATATGTCTGGTTCTTTCTTCACTTACAATCAATCGAAATTCAAATCACTTAATTGGACTATCTGTATATTCTTTGTTAGAGAGTGTTTAATGATGTGCACTTAGAGTTCGATTCAGCTATGTGCTGATCTTTCTTTTATTTCTGTTAAGAAAAATAGTCATCATACAGTGGTTGTACACGCACTTATATAATATCGAAAAGAAAGAAAAAGAGAACAAAGATCACGATAACAAAGCGACAAGAAAGAAAAAAACATAAGAAAAAGATATCATTCCAAACACCCTTTCCCTTACAAAAAATTTTTTGTTTTACAAAATACTTTTGTCCTTTTTTTTTATAAAAAAACATCAACGAAAAACTTCAGAAAAAGAAAAAAATATCTAGTGTGACTGCACCAGTTAGTGAAAGAACATGTTCAGAATATCACTTAGAAATAAAGAAAAAAATATAACAATACGAGAGAAAATATCACAACGAGAGAGAAAGAACAAACAAAAAAATGTAACAATAAAAAAATAATAAAATAACAAGAAAATGTTTATTATTTATGTTGTTGCTGTTGTTGTTCGCGATGGTGTTGATGATGATATCGATGAATTTGATCATTTTTACGATCAAACATATATTCAGGTATTTATTCTTGCTATTTTTGCTTGATCGTGTCGCTCTTTACTCCAATAATTAATAATCAATTGAGGGTGTGGGTATGGATGTGTGGGATGTGCACATTCTTTTTATCTACAACCATACCCACACCCACACCCTTTGTTGATTGATGAGATTGGAAATACATCATCTTTCTCGATATTATTATCAACAAAACTGATAGTGTACGCTAACTCCTATTTCAGAACAAGCAATTCTAAAAAATATATGCTGATGAATTCCGTTAATTTTAGACACTGATAAAGTTCATGATGCATAGACACATGGATGATAGCCAAATGGTGAATCTTTGATCTTAGATGTGAGTTCTAATGTTTTATAAATTTGTAATAATGATAGCTATGCAAGTTGCTCTATTAATCGGCTCCCATAGTGAACATTTATAAGATCAACTGTATAGTATAAGATTCTGCTCTATATTAGTACCTTTATCAATGGTGTATATAGAGATCTATATCATATATTCAAGAAGTAAAATCTTTCATGAAACCACTTCATGATTATTTCAACACCGAGTTTTTATTTCAAATTTGTGTCGAAAAACATTCGTTTTTATTTGAAGTAAAAGAATTTATTTTCTCACATCAATATCTGTTATTCTGACACAACCTGTTTGACCTGTGTCAGATCGAAATTCAATTTGAGCTGTGACTGTTGCCTTTGAGCCGATAGGAATACTTGCTGTGAAATTCATTGGTATTTCTATTAATTGGTTACCCTTAAGAAACAACAGAAATTTCTTATGAAATTTCAAAGAACTAAAGAAATTCATACAGCGAGTACTGGACAGGAACATGTTGAGCAAGCCACGCACCAATCAGGATACGTACAGGATCCAACACCATCTTCACACTTGATGGGTACAGTGATAAGAAAAGCTGTTGCTTTTAAATCGAATGCAGTCTAATTATAATTTAGTAAAGAATAAAACGATTATTATGAATAGTTAAAAATACCTGAAGTGGATGAACAATATCTTCACTAACATCAATATTAAGCCTGAACAAAACAGGACCTGGTACCTTGAATGGATGAGGTATTATTTGAAGATCCTTCAATTGGATATGGTGATTACTCGGATTCGAACCACAATTGGAAAATTTATATTGTCCTTGAACGGCAATCTAAATATAATGAAAACGATATGTTCAGTTGTCTTCTAATCAATAAAAATGTTACCGATGAAATAAAAAAGATCAAGACAATTAGTTGAATCGATGGCATTTTTTGCTCAGTTCTGAAAATAAAATGATTTCTTAAATGCACATTTAATGTAATTACATTACTTACCTGTTCTATCGTTGTAAATATTTGCTTGAAGCTTGTTCGATTTTGTCGATTTATATATAAATTCATTTTACTATCTACAATAAAAAAATCCCATGATCTGCTCATAAAAGCAAAATACTTGAGTTAAATTACTTTCTCTGATAACAGATTCATAAATTTCGATGATTTTATTGTTTTCTAGGCTTTATTCGAGAGAGATAATAATTCGATGGTAATATTTTTCAGATAGAACGAATTGACATTTTTTGCACTCATTTTGATAAGAATTTCTGTCACGTAATTCTACACAAAAACAGAATTACCTTGCTATTGATTACTGATTAATCTTTATGGTGGAATATTCATTTCGATTCGATTTGAACATTAAATTAAATAGTGAATGTTAAAAAAAAAAGTCCATCAGAAAAGTAAATATAAAAATGTCTTGTTGAAAAACTCGAGTGATTTAGCCTCTTTATTGGTATGATGGAATATTCACTACAATTCTAACTCTTGGACATTCAAATTACCAGTCCAAGACGCTTGAATACGAACAGCTAGCCGCTTTCAGTTGCAATTTGGATTCGTCCAACAAACGTTTTAAGTGCGACGTTTACGCATTTCGACAGTCGACCTAACAGCATCTAGTCTAGTGCTTGGTGTTTCATAGTGTTACAGGCCTCGATCCATCTCCTCTCTCTCTCTTTGGAATTGTTATTCTTTTTCTTTTTTTTCTTCTTCTTCTTCGCTATTGTATCTTGTAAAATATATGTACATATTGTTAAGGGCATTTGGAAGATATATATATATACATTTAAAAAAAAACAAACGTAAGCTCGTCGAAGCGAGCTAACACATAGTCATCATCGGCTTCACTTCATCTGAATATATCGTCATTAATAGTTGGTTGGATGATAATGTTGCGTTTACTGGACCGGCTACTTCACATGTTCAATCGACTCATCTCGTGGCGACTAATTGGACATTAACAGTAATCAATATGGTACATCGTCAAGTTCATCTGATTTTTCCTTCGGTGGCGTTCAAAGGACGACTACACTTGGAGGTCTGTTAAATGGAACAGGCGTGTGTAATAGATTTGCACTTGTATAAGATAATCAAAGTAAAAGGCGATAGTAAATCAAGAAATAGAAATCTTTGTATGTACAATATTGGTGAGGTCTACTAAATAGTATCAGATAAGGTCCAAAGCTTGTTTCCTTTTGAAACAGAAAAAAGTCACCATGACAACAGGACCGTGGTAAGTGAACAATTTTGACATTCATTGCAAATCATTCTGGAACAGCTTCATATGCATACCAGTATTTTGTTTTCACTCATAGAGTTTATTCCGACTTAGGTTTTTAACAAGTAAGGCAGCGCAAACGCTGCTTACCCTCTACTGAAAGGATGAGTTGCATTGAAGATAGGATATTAGAAGTACTAGATATGGGAAATGATTCACTGGCAGCACACTAAGGAGTGGAATGAAACGAACCATTATTGTTCAAGAGTTGGAAATGTAGATTCCCATATTCGGTAACCCCTACAGAAATTGCATACTCTGAGCAAGTTAAAAATATGCTTTATATCCACATGATATCATCAACATTCTGCGCACTCGCTTTGCTCAGCTAAATATTCTTATAGCATTATCTATAGTCTGATCAAAGTATTAGTATCGCGTTCCCGAGTTTCAAGGTGTCTGAAATTTGAAACCAAGCGATTGAAAGTAACAAAAAGTCCTGTGTTAACGCCTGAAAATGAAAATATGCTTGCAACAATGGGAGTGTCAAGATTCCTGACTCCATCAAAGGTATTTTTGTTACTTTTGTTTCATGAAAAAGCTTGTTAGAGCAGCCCCTTTGTGGTTGAAATGTAGAACTCATATATCCTCTCTAGCCTAATTAAACTAATACATAATACATAAAGTGACACATCTCTCGTAGACTATAGCTGCTTTGCAGAATAATTGATGTTCAGAGTAATGACTTCTCTAATTTCTGCATTTCGAAAAGAATTTTCAGTTTTTAAAATTCATTTTTTCTTAATTTAATATTCTTATTATTATAATCATTGAATTAATTGACAAATACGTCTGTTTTACATATTCATGATATCTACAGCAGGTCTCAAGCACTATTATTTATATTAATCAGCTCACAAATAGTAATATTCATTATTTTTCAAAACTATAACTTGATCAATTTTGCAACAAAATCTAGAAAATGTGACGGCTGTTATTGTTCATTGCTACGATCTGTAATGAGGAAGAGTCTAGCAGGAGCGGGAGCCATAAAAACTCGATCTTAAACTTACACTCACTATTTTCCTCAAAAAATATGTGAGTTCCACAAAACTAACTCAGCAGTCAATATATTTACTACAGTAATGTAGTTTTTCTCTCTCGAGCCATTTAAGGTAAACAAATATATCATTCACTTTTAATTTTTTTATCTCTCTTATGTTCTTTCTTGAACGAAGCAGCGTCGATATGGCTCTTCTCTTAACTCTTACTCACACGCACATTCCACCCAATAAATCTAGATCAGCAACAAAAACCTGTTAGCGTCAATGATGATACACTGCGATGCTAAACCAAGATTAAGACACGCTTTCTGGTTTAATTGGCTTAGGACATTTGCCCGAATAGCGGGAGATGTGGGCTCGAGTCCCACGAAGGTCGTCTTTTTCTTCATTCTCTTCGTTCACTGCATTTCCAATTGTATAAATCATATATGATGCTTACAAACCCGTGTCGCTATTCGACTATGCACAGCAGAGTAATGATTTGAGCGATTCTGTTCCACTACGAACTGGATAACCTACGAAGGTAAAAACTTTATGAGTCGAAAATTTCCGCTTTCGTAATTTCATATCCTGACTATATATGATCCGAATTCAATTGAAACTCACTGTGCTGTTGTAGAGCTAAAACAATTTTATTGTGAGTATCGATGTGCGTTAAAGTCCCTAAATCACACTGTGTTAGTTATGATTCGCTGAAGGGTATGCAAGTGAACTCCACAGATGCTCGAAAACTTTGATCGATAGTTATTGATGCCTGTCTAAAATTCTCAGAGATACATCTCTTGCTATAGACAAATGAAGGTACACTGAATATGAAGATATTGTAATAGATATGGATACCTGAATACGCGGCATATTGGCTTCATATTTCTGATAAATTACTAGCATTGATTCGAGTATTGTTACTCTGAAATAGAATAATAAAAACAAAAATTCTCGTTACAAGTATATCATGGAAAGCAAGATTGAAACTTAAACATAGAGTATATTTCAATTTGAACGCAATTTTTCGTTCTTTTAAATATTTAAAAACCATATTAAAATAAAGTTTGGCTTCTATAGAATAGTCAACTGATATTCGTCTATCTATTCAAAAGCTATGAGGAGTTGTTAACAACTTTGTAGATTCGGATGAGTGATTGAAAAAGAGATATCAAGTCTCATTCTCATCGGATGTGCTGTGGCTACACTGTAAAAAAAATTCGTAGAATAATAAACCATATGAAAAGGGTTTATTAAATTCCTAAACCTTTCACCGTATATTGATAAACCCTTTTATCGTTTATTATCAATTTCCTAAACCCTTTAAGTGCTTATGAGGCTTCCTAAACTCTTAAAAAGGGTTTATTATACGTTTCATTTTCCTAAACCCATATGGGTTTATGAGTGAAAAAAGAGTTTAGGAGATCTAATAAATCCTTAGGGGTTTAGGAAAGTGAAACGTATAATAAAACCTTTTTAAGGGTTTAGGAAATTGATAATAAACGATAAAAGGGTTTATCAATATATGGCGAAGGGTTTAGGAATTTAATAAACCTTTTTCATACGGTTTATTATTCTACGAATTTTTTTTACAGTGTATGAGGATCTGCTTGCAGGCGTATGTTGAGTCGAGACTAGCATCCACACCCATGGTTGTGCTTTTGGATGTCTGAGTGTGACTGTGGGATCGGTGTCGCGTTGGGGTTACGAGTGTTTCCTTCATTGCCATCAACACTTAAGCCGTCACTCCTACGCCTACATATATCCAGATGCCTCTGATACACAGATTCTTGATTTCCTCTTTTCTGATTGATTCCTTATCTGTTGTTGCGTTTCAAACTTGATTGCGCTTAGTAGTTGAATTGAAATGTTAAAACAGTCAAAAGTCGCTGAAAATGTAGTAGAAGTCGTGTCGTTGTACAGATTACTTCATCATTTTACTGACATTTGTTGAAGAGGCGAGCTTGAAGAGAGCAACAATAAAATTTATTGCTTACGAAAGAAACATGGCAATAAAATATTATTATCTTTATTGTTGGACTTTTTTTGGTACATATTTGTGCAGCTAGAGGAAAGGTGCGTTTTATCAACAAAGCTTAAAGCAAG